GGGCACAGTGCTATGGAGGGCAGGGCTGGGGGCGGGAGGGGTGCACAGTGCTATGGAGGGGAGGATGGGGTGCAGGAGGCGGGCACAGTGCTATGGAGGGCGGGGTTGGGGGCAGGAGGGGTGCACAGTGCACGAGCGCTGCAATGCGCTTCCTGCAGCATAAAGTGCAGTCCGCGGCACAGGGGCAGCTCCAGCCCCGAGGGGCACAAGTCAGGCCCAGGACGACGGTCTTCCACACCCAAACCTCCACCGCCCGTGGGTGTGTGTGACGGGGTTCTCTCTCCTCCCAGCCCGGTGTGGCCGCCCAGGTCCCCATGCCCCGGGCGGCGGGACTGAGCCGCAGTGCTCGCCCCAGTAAGGCTCATCTCCCTGGGGACGGGAAGGGTGGGCCTGGGCAGGCCCTCGGGGGCGTCGGCCCGGTTGCCCGCCCCGCGCGGCCCCGTGACCTTGTCTGAACCTCCCGCCGACCTCCCAGAGCCTCCTTCAACGCCGGGGCTCAGACCCAGCTCAGCCTCACAGACGCCGAGAGTCCCTGTCCCTCTGGGTGCCGCACAAGGGGCGCCCCAAGGGCCGCAGCGCGACGCACTCGGAGCCCACCACCCGGGGCGAGCGCTCCCATTGGCTCCCGGTGACGTCAGAGCCCGGCCCCCGCCTGCAGGTGGACGCCGGCGGGCGGCACTGCGGCAGCAAGGGAGGGGGCTGGGACGTCCCCTCTCGGCCTGTCCATCTCCCCTCGCCTGTGACCTTGAGGGCTGCGTGCCCTCTGAGCTGGGCTGCAGCGCGCGCCCGGGGAGGGGAGGCTAGCACGACTCTTCCGTCCTCCGCACCCAGCATTCCGGGACCAGGGCTGCGCCCGCGGGCAGACGCTGACGTCGCTGCCTGGGTGCGGGGCGACCCCGTGGTCTGCGGACCCGGCAGGGCAGGCCGGGGTTGGGGGTGCAGGAGTAGGTGCACCCCTGATTCTCCCTCCTGCACCCCTGGGCACTGCTGCCCTGGGAGGGAGGAGGCGCCCTGGCATCCACCTGGGGCCCCTAGCCCTGCCCCATGGCGCCAGGGTTGCCTTCCCCCACCCACAAAAAGGCACTGCAACCCCCCCTCGTCCCCTCCTCCACAGGGACCCCGGCCTGAAGGCCTAGTTAGCACCTGGCCCCAGACCTCCCCGCCTCTGCCGGACTGGCACCGCGGTGCCCTGGGGACCAGGAGGAGCTGCAAGCAACTCCTAAGGAAGAAAGAGGCTGTCTGTCCCGTTGGCACTCCAGTGCAGACACCCAAACAACCAACACAACCCCCGCAGGGTCAGAAGAGCAGACCCCTGCACGCACAGGTACCCCAGACACACGCAGGGCGCACAGCCTCCCCCAGGGCTGAGATGGTCACAGGCGCAAGGCAGAAGCCAGCCGGGCACGTGCCAGGCGGAGGGCACACAGTCCGCGAGATGTACACACGCTGGCACGCCGGTCCACACAGGCTTGCAGACAAGTCACAGCCCACGCCGTTTTCTGCAGATGTCAGCCCTCCCCGCCCTCCTCCGCAGGCCCCGACTAGCAGCTACTCCCGGTCACTGCAGACCAGGGTCATCAGGGAGACTAGGACCTGCTGGCCTTGCCTCGGTGATCCCCGAGGTGAGGCGACTGAAGGCAGACGCGCCTCCTGACACGGGCAGAGGGATGCCCTTCCTCCCTGACCGCCTCGCCGTCCCCGAGCCCCCACTCACCCCATCCCAGCACTCCGGCATCTTGCCGAGGGAGGCGACCCGCCTCGACCAGGAAGGGCCAACAAAGGCCTGAGTCACTGGGTCCAGGAGGAGGAGGCAGCTCCAGCAAGAGACCAGCGACTCTGCGATGGGGCCCCGCTCCTCCCGGGGCCACTTATATGCGGAGCCTGCCGGGCCTGGGCCGGCCCCGCCTCCTAGCCGGGTTTCTGAGCAGCCACTCGCTCCCGGATTGGTTGTCGGGAGACAAACCTGGCTCCAATTGGCTTCCGCGGTCCTCACTCACCCAGTCCCTCCGCCCCCAGCAACACACCATCCTTGATGGTCCCCAGCTCCCGCATCCCGCCCGCCCCCAGCACACAGACACACACCCACAGCTGCAGCTGTACAAGGGGTCCTGGGAGGATGGGAGGTGAGGCCACACGTCCAGGTGCGCCCTGTGCACACAGGAGCCCCTCAGACACTCACACCAATGCAGAGCAGGGAGGGACACACAGGCATGCCCTAGACTGCACAGCCCTCGACCCATGCCCCAGGGAGCAGGCAGGGCCTAGGGGAGCCCCAAGCCCAGCCTCCACATCAGGCAGGCCTGGATCACCTAACCTTGAGGGCTCATGGGGAGTCACCTCCGTCTGGGGCAACCTGGGTCATGACCCTGCTCCAAGGACTGCTCCTCTCCACCCCCAGGGTCTCCCCTAGGGCAGCCCCCACTCTGCCCACGGGCATGCCTGCCCACACTGCTGAAAGGGGGGTTCTGGGGCAGGGGGCCTGGGTAGATTGCAGGACCAGGGGTGTGCTGGGCACACACCAGCTCTGCCCTCCCCATCCCCATCCTGCAGCAAGGGGCTGGAGGCCCCCAGGGAGAGGAGGAGGGGCAGGAGGCAGCCTGACGAAGTGGACATGCCCACCTCCCGCTGAACCACCGAGCTCTCCTTCCCCGGACCGACCAGCGTGGGGCTTGGCTCCTGGGTCTCTGGGGAGCAGGACGCAGGAGCCACCTCAGGCTCTATGCCCCGTCCTCCTGAGCAGCAAGGATTTGGGTGAAGAGCTGGCTAGAGACAGGGGGGTAGAGTAAACAGGAGGAGGAGGAGGACACAGAGGAGGAGAGGAAATAGGCCGGGGAGGGGAGCAGAGGAGGAGAGAGAGGCGAGAGCGACAGAGAAGGGAGGGGTGCGGGGCGCCCATGCCCCCGTTCTGTCTCTTTGGTGAAGAAACGCGCCACTGGCCCCAGCCTGCGCGACAGCCCTGCACACTGGCAGGGTTGTGTGGGCTGCCCTGGGGGAAGGCGGTCACTCCCCGTCTCTGGGAGCCTGGTGACCTGGTCAACATCTGCCATGTACGCTATTCCAGGCCATGTCCTCCGCCTGGAGCCATCAGCAACCTTCCTGCCCCATCTGCCACCTCTGCTCCGGGGGCCTAGAGCAGAGCGCTGGGCCCCATGCTCTGCCAGGGCAGCCAGGCTGTGGAACGGGATGTCCCCCGGCCCCTCACGTCCTGGCCATGCTCCCTGTCCCCTGCAGGCACTTTGGCACAGAAAGAGACTCCAACAACTGAGGCAGCCTGCAAAGGCAGAGTCCTGCCCCTTGACCTGCCCACAAAATCCTCCCAGATGCCTCCCACCCTTCCTGCCAGCAAACCCCTGCTCCTCCGTGGGCCCATCCAACCTTATGCCACCCCGATCTCTGACCTCCGAGTGGCCTCTCCCACCCTTGGCCTCTCATCCTTGGTGAGAGCTGACCATCCCAAGCCATGGCCCCCGTTTCTGCTCAGCTCACTGGCTTATATCCACAGACCTGAGTTTAAGTCCTGGCTCCCCCTCCCACTAGCGGGGTGACCTTGGGTGAGGTGTTTTAGCTCCTCTGTGCCTCAGCCTCCTCAACTGTGACACAGGAGTTGTGCCTTCCTCACAGAGTTGCCATGAGGATGAGAAAAACCTGCATCAGTCACTCCAGACCTGACCCCACGCCCACCCAGGCCCTGGTGACAGAGAAATGGGAACATCTGTGTGCCTCTCCAAGCTGTTGGCCCCTTCCCTGGAGGTTCTACAGTTGTTGTGGCCGAACAAGGCAGGCTCGGGTCTTGTTAGCCAAACCTAGGCACCAGTCATAGCTCTGCCACTTCTGTGCTGTGTGACCTTGTGCAAGTCAGTCAACCTCTCTGAGCCTTCACATCTGTAAATAGGAGAACAGCAGTGCCTACTACACAGCTAGCTGCAAGGAAAACACATAATCCTCACAAACCTATGAGAAAGGATGAGGAAACAGAAGCACAGAGATGTTAATTTTCCCATCAGCTAGTAAGCAGTGGTGCTCACCAGCACCTTAGCACTCTGGGCCTGAGGTCACGTTATTAAGCGTAGCAAATGCTTATTAGCATGTCTCCCACGTGCCAGGCTCTATCCAAATGCTTTACACGTTACCTCATTTTATCCTCTTAACATCCACTTTACAGAAAAGGAAAAGGAAGCACAGAGAGGTTCTGTAACCTGCCCACATCACACAGCCAGTGAGCAGAGAGCCAGGAACGGCACTCAGGCAGCCTGGCTCCGACTTCACACTCTGGTGGCCACTCGTCACGGTCAGCCCAGGGTCTGAGTGCCCGGCCTGAGGGCCCTAGCCCTGACCCTACAAACACCCGGGGGGTCTGAGCTGCCTGTCTGACGGCATCAATGAGGTAGTGACATGGGGGTCACGTGGCTCGTAAGTGGCAGGGCCAGGACCTGACCCAGGTCTGTCTGGCTCTAGTTTGTCCTTCTGCCTCCCCCAGTGGCTGGGCCCACGGAGGCAAGGGACGAAATGGGATAAAATCTCTGCCAGGCCTTGGCCCAGACAAGGGCCAATCTCACAGCTGCTTTAGGGAAAGGCAAAAAAAAAAGGCAGCCTCTGCATGTGGTGTAGCCAGAGCACAGGGTGAGGGGCCTTTTGACATATGCTGCCCTTCACAAAGCAAAGGGTCTTGAGAACCAGGGTCCCACACACGGGGGCGGCCACCCCAGGCTGGGCTTGGCATAGGGGCGTGAAGGACCCCAGGACTCCCTCCTTCCCTCTCATACTTTTGGGGGCTGGCAGTCAGCCCTGCTGGCCTCGGAGGTCCCACTCGATGTCAGGCAGCTGGCTGCTCTGGGTTTTATTTCACCAGCCCCCTTCTGGGGAGGAGGGGCTGCTGTCCACACGTCCCTGCCCTCACGTGGAGCAGGAAGGACAAAGAGGACCCCTTGGCGTGCCTGCGCTGATCCCGGGCTGGGCCTGGCCACCTCACGGACACATCCCTCCCTTCCCTCCTCCTGGGCTCCCGTTTGTTCCGCACTCCCACAGACCCCGTCCTGTCCTCCTCAGCTCCAAAGCCCTGTGTGTTGGGAGCTGGTGTTCCCAGGGGACCAGAGCACGTGCCACATGCTGGCTGCTCGGAAGCCTCCGCTGGCGTCCTTGAAGGGGCTCGTGACCCAGGGCCAACGACGCAGGCCCGGATCCAGATCCTCCATCCTCGCCGCAGAGCTGGCGCCTGGGGGAGGAGCCGGCGGGCCGCCCCACCTCCCGCGTCACCCCTGCGTCCAGACCACGAGGCTGGGGCTGTCTTGGGGCTTGGAGACTGACCCAAATCGAAGTCAGGCCCAGGCCAGGGCAGTGGCCTGGGGGCTGGCTCCATCTAGCCAGGAGGAGGGTCTCAGAAGGGTCTGACTTTGTTCAGCAGGTTTTGAGGGCCAGCGGGGCCCCAGAACACAGCTCCCGTTGTGTCTGCTCTCAGACATCTTCTGAGCCCCAGAACTGAACGGCCGCTATGGGGCTCGGCAAGAAATGGCTGGCAGAGGGAGCAAAATCGAAATCGTCGTGCGGAGGAATAAAAACAAAGCAGGATTTCAGTTTTCACAGGGAATCTGGCATCAAATTAAAGAGGACGTGGTTGTCCCGGCAACAGCTGCCATGGAAACAGGAGCTATTTCAGAAAGTCAACCTGGCTTTCATTGGAGGAAGATGCTGATTCAGTTGACAGCATCCTCACTCCCTCAGGCCTCCACTCCCTCCATGGTGCTGTCCAGGGGGCAGGCAGAGCTGCTGTGAGTAGTGGGGGTGGTCCCGGAGGCTGCCAGATGCCCAGCCCCTGCAGCTACAGGCTGGGGGCACACAGAGGGGCTGGGAACAGGCTGGCTGGGGCGAGGGGCCAGCCAGCTGTTGGTCCCCCATCTCGGGAGGTTGAGCCAGACCTACCTTCCAGTCTGCGTCCACAGCCAAGAGGAAGGTGTCCGAGTTCTCCTAAGGGAAGGCAAACAGAGGGGATGGCTTGTTAGGCCCTGTGCTGGCCCGGGTGGGGAGGGGGTCCCCAATTGCCTTGAGCAGACTTGCTTGCTGTTCCTTAGTCTGTCTTAAGGTTAACAAAAGCAACCCAGGCATCGGGCTATTAAGTACTTGACAGACGAGCCTATGAGCGGCTACACACCTCGATTTTACGTATCAATTTAAAATGTGAAGATTTCCACTTTACAGGTGAGAAAGGTGAGGCTCAGAGAGGCTGAATCACAGGCCAGAAAGTGGTGGAATCTCTGACCCCAAATCCTTGCTGTTCATCACTCTGCCCTGCTGCCCCCATAGACAGTTTTCAAGGTCTGACCATCAGGGCACAAGGACAGAGGTGGGCACGGCTATCACACCACGTTAGGGATGGGGAGGCCCAGGCCCACGCATGGAGGAGGGGCGGGGGCTTTCCTGACCTGCAGAGGCGCTGCCTGGGCCTGCAGTGGCGGCTGCTCCCACCTCCACACCTGCCTGCTTCTTGCTCTCTGAGCGCCCAGGGCCCTGCTTTCGGGCTCCCTGACACTGACGGTGTGAGGCTCTGGCTGGTGTCCGTCCCTCCCGCTGGGCTGCAGGCACCGCAGAGGCAGGGACCCGTCTGGCTCTGCTCTCAGCATACAGCCTGGCATGGAATGGGCTCCCCAAACACAAGCAGATCTGCACGAACAAGTCTGACTTCACGGATGAGGGGAACACGGCTTAGACGTACCCACTGTTTACACGCGGCAGAGATGAGGAGCAGAGGGGTGGGGGCTTGAACCTCATGTGTCTGAGTTGCTAGGTGCTCCCTGACGCCTCCCGGGGGCCCTCAGACACTCTGCACCCTCTCTGGGTCTCTGTCCAGGTAAGGAGACTTCACAGGGGGACCAGCACGTGTCCAGGAAAAGCAGAGATCCCAGACCCTGCCTTCCCTTCTACTGTGTCTGTCTAGAAAACTCTCTGCGCCCCACTCCTTGGCTCTGAGCAACCGGGCAGACCACTTAGCCTCCGAGCCTCACACCCGTGAGGATTAAAAGAGAAGCGGGGGGTGGGGGGGCGGCCCCATGGCTTAGCAGCTAAGTGCGCGCGCTCCACTACTGGCGACCCGGGTTCGGATCCGGGGGCGCACCAACGCACCGCTTCTCCGGCCATGCTGAGGCCGCGTCCCACATACAGCAACCAGAAGGATGTGCAGCTATGACATACAACTATCTACTGGGGCTTTGGAGAGAAAAAGGGGAAAAAAAGGAGGAGGATTGGCAATAGATGTTAGCTCAGGGCCAGTCTTCCTCAGCAAAAAGAGGAGGATTGGCATGGATGTTAGCTCAGGGCTGATCTTCCTCAAAAAAAAAAAAAAAAAGAGAAGCAGAGTGTTAGCTGTTGTACCGACCTTGGTCCCCCTGCGCTGGACTTCGTGGGCTACAGATGCTCCATAAGCCTCTACTGAGTAAATATGTGGATAAAGGAGACAATCGGATTAGAAGCAGGATGTTATGGGAGGCCAGCACAAGAAGCAGGGGCCACTAACGTGCAACAAGGAGGAAAGGGACCCCAAGTCACGGGAGTTGGAAGAAAAAGAATGAAAACCAGCGATTCTGATGTTTTACTCTGAAAACAAGGAGAGGTTCAACCCAGTGCCGGGGGCTCGGCATGGGGTCGGGGCAGAAAGCATGGAGGCGGCCAGGCCACTCCTGGAGCCTCCAAGGAAGGGGCCAGGGGTCTGGGAGAAAGGGACAAGGCTGGTTATTGATGAATCCTCTCACCAGAAGACCTGGCACCAGGGGGCCAGGGAAAGAGACGCGGGAGATTTTCATACTTGAGACTCAGAGAAGGAGGGAGGGGGCAGTTTTGTTAAAGACAAAATCGACACAAAGGATGAGGCAGGTCATGGCAGGGTGCGCTGCGTGCTCTCAGGGTGCTGGGGTGGGGGGCCAGGATGGGAAGCTAGGGAGGGCAGGACCCCAAAACCAAGAAACAGCAGGAATAATACAAGCCACTCCAGAGACTGCAGAGGTCCGGGAGGAAGTGCGCGAACATTCCGAGGAATACAGTGAGAGAGAGGGCCCAGCGAGAGGAGGCGGAGGGGCCCAAGAGCGGCCTGTGAGAGACCAAGGTGGGGGACACAGGGCAGGGAGAAGGAGCAACCGTTCTTCCACGGAGCCCTGCACACACCAGCAGTCTTCACAGGCAGGCAAGTCTGAAATAGCGGGGGGGGCGGGGGGGTGGCAGTAACCATGTGGAAGTCTTCACTCTTCACTAGACTCGAAGAGTTTGCACCTAGCAGGTTGCGGGAGATTCAAAAAGTGAAAAGGACAGACACCTTCACACAGCGCGGCTGGAAAAGGGGAACGTGTCTGTGAGTGTAGCCCCCTGGGAAAGAGAGTGCCGAATGGCTCAGGGAGGCAGAGAGCGGGGCAGGACGGCACAGCTGTCACGGAAATCTGCAAAGCCACGCGGGGAGCACCCAGGAGGGTTTTTGGGGGTTGGGGATGGGCCGTCCATGCACCTTTGGAAAAAGCAGATGTGACCAGGTCCACACGGGGCACAGGGCTTGTGCTGACTCGAGAGAGGAGAGAAACTGAGCTGGCGATTCCAGGCCTCCACGGACCCTCACGCAGGGTGGGGACGTCACCATGGCCAACTCTGGTCCAGGTGCAGGTGGGATGAGGGAGAGACACCAAATGCAGCAGGAAGAAGGCAGAGCCAGGCTGCTGGTCAAAGGGGGGCCGTGCTTGTCCAGTCAGGGAGGGAGGGGCAGCAAGGGCGGGGCCAGGCTGGCAGGGAAGGGGTGTGGGGGCATCTCTCGGGGCACGCCGCTGAGGTGAAGGGTAGAAGAGACAAGCACAGGACATGTAAGGCCAGGGTGCCCTCAGCTCTCTGCGCCGCCCACAGACGCACACCCCATTCCAGCAGGCAGCACCTCTGTGTGGCTGCCCTGTAACCCCCACATCTCAGTTCTTGTGATGGGGTGCAGGGGTCCCTGAGGGTCACCATCCACCCCACCAAGCCCTCAAAGAAGGCTGGTCTCTGCTTGCGTGCCTCGCAAGACTGGCTGGTGTGGGGAGGAGGGACTTTTCAGAAAGTTCTGAGAAACTTCTTTCTTCTGAGCTACATCTAGGAGGAGCAGCGAGCCTGGGAGGCAGGAGAGAGTGAGTAGGGGAGAGTGTGGGGGCTGGGGGGCAGATCCCATCCCGGGCCCCCGGAAGGACTGTGGCTGGAACTCTGACCCGCTTCAAGCAGAAGAGGGATATGACGTATTCTAAGAGGGTCGTAGAGAGTCAGGAGACCAATGGGGAGGCTGCTGCAAGCATCTAGACAAGAGCTGATGGGGACTTGACCAGGGAGAGAGCAGAACTAGAACACGGGGCCTGTGAAGTGTGCGGCTCCCCAGCTGCCCCCCGACCACTCTTGGGGGCCTGCCCTCAGATAATCAGGACTGATAAGTTAAATCCAGGTTCTGTCTTAAAGGTAAGACCGTTGTACCCTTCTCAGGGGCCAGAACGCTGGCCTCACGTGGTTGGGCCCCTGGAGCCCTCGACGGCCACTCTGTCCCAACACGTGGCGCTCAGTGGCTCTGGGGCACACCTCCCCCAGGCAGGAGGCTGGGGGAGGCTGGGGCAGGGCAGCGACTGGGGTGCTGAAGATTCAGGGACTGGCTTCCCCATCTATAAAGTGAGGGGGGCCAGGATGGCATAAGCCCCCCAGCCCTGACGCCCCAGAATTCTACAGCAGTGGACCCACAGCTTTTCCTTGCAGGGAGGGAAAGGGAAGGTGTGCCTGGCTTCACCACAACAAGAAAAAAAAAGCGTAGGGTAGAAATAACTGGAATCCAATGCCAAGTGCCCCCGTGAGGGCCCTTCGGGACTAAATAACAACCTAGAGTGCCTCCGTCCACTGCTCCTGGCAGCACTGGTGGTGATGGTGATGCTTGCCTCGTCTTCAGAGCTTGTGAGGAAGAGACAGAGAAGCTGCAGACCAGGGAAGCCCCGGCAGATGGGGAAGCACCGTGCCCCTGCTGGAGGCAGCACTGCCCAGCGGGTACCCTCTTGGGGCTCAAGGGTCTCCCAGACCCAGGAGTTGAGCACGGCCTCATTCCTTGATAGCTGTGTGGCCTTCGCCGAGTGAGTTAACCTCTCCGTGCCTCAGTTTTCTCATCATTAAAATGGGAATGGCCCTCCTACAGAGCTTCAAAGACAGCCAAAGCCACAGCGAGGTAGGCTGGGTCTTAGTGGCGTGCGCAGTCGGGCCCGGGAACGCTCCTAAGGCGGGGACAAGGCTTCTCTGGGTGGGGTGAGGATTCGGCGCGTGGCCTCTGGGGGGGGAGGGTCAGCTCGTTGCAATCCGCAAGGCTAGAGGGCAGGCGCGCGGTTTCCTTCTTGACCACAAGGTGGCGCCCTCCGCCCCAGGACCGCGAAGGGGCGACTCACCAGCTCGGCGGCCTCCTGGCCCCGGAGCAGCGGCTTCTCCTCCGGGAATCGCAGCTGCTGCAGCCCGGCCATGGTCACGTCGTGGAGCAGGAGCCCTAGGGAGGGAGGGCGAGGACGAGGGTCGGGGGCTGCGGCGGGGACGCCCGGGCCCTGCTCTCTCTCCCGGGCCGAGGAGGACAGCGCATGCCCGGGCTGGGGCAGGGGCACAGCGCCCCCCACCGCCGCGCCACCCCCGAGGCCCCAGCGCAGCCCCGTCGCAGCGCTTCACCGGGGCAGCAAGGCTCCGCCTGCAGGGCTCGCCTGCTTGGCTCAGGGATGTCATTATATTATTTGCCCTTAAAAGTTAAAAGACGTTTCCAAAAAAGAAAAACACAGGGCGATCCCTAAAATAATTTCAAGTAAACTTCTGCATTTATTGAGAAGCAGAGGGGTGAGTGTGGGGAGGCCAAACGCTGGGTCAGAAGCAGACAGAAGCCCCTTGTGGTGGGAAATGGACAGTAGGGTCCATAGAACATATAGAGGAAGAGCTGAGGGCTGTCCTGAGGGCCTGGAGGGACATGCCAGGTGAAGATGGCCCTGAGAGGGGAGGAGGGGGGTGCGGGCAGCGTGGCAGGCAGAGTGATGTTGAAGGAGGGGGTGCCAGGCATGACGTACCACCAACAGGGAGGGACGGTACACGGTGACCACTCAACCCACAGCCACCAGACTGGGTGTTCCTGGGAGACCCTGGGCCTCTGATGTTTAGGGGAGAAAAGGGTCATATGTGTACATGTGTGTGGACATGCATGCCTGTGTGTTTGGAAGAGCCAGTGGTGGGGAGGGTCAGAGAGGGTCCCAGGACCCCACAATCCCTCTAGCCTGGCACCCCCATCCCTCACTTGGATTTCTGAATGGTGCAGATCAGAATGCACCAAGAGAAAAGCTAGCCAAAGACATGAACTGGAAATTCATAAAAGAATTAAAGTTGCTCAATAAATACATGGGAAAATATCAAAGCTCACTACAAGTCAAAGAAATTCAAATGGAAACAAGGTGTGGTTTTTTTTTGGCCAATGGAACTCGCTAAGTTTTCAGTGCTGGCAAAGATGCACCGAGACTGGCACTTTCCTATACTGCTTGTGGGCGTATAAATTCATACATCTTTCTGGAGGGCAGTTTTGCAGAATGAATTAAAATAATTGAAAAGCTTCATATTCTTGGACTCAGCAATTCTCTCCCTGGGAGAAATCTCCAGAGGAAACCAGAGAGGGCGCCTAATGGTTTATCTGTAAGAATGCTCACCGCAGAGCCATTTATAATAGGAAAAAAAAAAAAAACTGGAAAATGCTAAATGTCCATGAATAGGGCACTGGACAAATAAACTACGGGTCAATAACTTGTGAAAGATTATTTAATAACATGGTAAAATGCTTGTGTCATAATAAATGGAAAAAGCAGTTATAAAACATACACTATTATCTAAATTATGGGAACTATGAAAAATTCTATAACCCCTATAACACCTCCTGACCTGGAAAGATGGATTCCTCTCATCCTCCCATCTTCCCTCCCTCCCATTCTCCCTCCTCCTCCCCCATCTTCCTTCCCAATTCTATTTTTAGTCTCTCTTGAGGGTGAAGCCGTCAGACTTTCCTTTCTTCCCCGAGAGGCAGACAATCCCACTAGCCAGGCGATCAGAAGACGCCCCCCCCCCCACCTCATCCCACCCCTGCTCCTTTGGCTTCTCGCTGTGGAAGGCCCAGTGACTGGGGAGTTGGCGTAGTGGCTGCCTGGGACCCCAGGGCACGGGGCATCCCATGGAACTCATTTCTGTGTCAGGCTGTCATAAGACCAGGTTGCAGCTCCAGACTTTCCCTGGGCTTCCTTCCCTCCGGTCAGGAGCAGGAAGCATCAGCCCTCCAGGGTGTTACGGAGATGGTGCCTCACGACTGCATGGGGGTCCCCACCCGAGTCTAGTTTGGGGTTCAGATGTGCTGAGGCTGGGCTGGGAGCTCCTGGCCACGCAGGCCTCATGGAAGGCTAACGGAGAGCCACGGAGCCCCCAGGAGAGCCTCATCCCAGCAGGAAGAGGCCAGGCAGGGAGGTCCCTGCCCACCCAGGTCCCCAGGGCCCCGCACCTCCGTGCCACTCTGAGCTCTCTGCTCCCAGTGGTTTCCGGGGAAACCAGCTAACACAATGCAGATGGGCCGTATTTTTAGAAGGGCAGATTCTCCCCGGGCCCTGCTTTCTCTTCCCTCCTTTCTAATGTGTGCACACTCAGCCTTCCATCCCGGTGGGGGCTGAACGAAGGGCCCCCACCTTGGAGAACTCTTCCCTTCTAGGACTTTTTTAGTCACCAGCCCCCCTGAACACCCAACTCGATTAAACGCCTTGGCAGCACTGGGGTGTCCCCGCCTTCACCCAGGCCTGTTATGAAACCAGCCTGGAGACCAGCCTCCCCAAGGACGGTGCTATTAAAAGGGCTGAGAGTGGGCAGTGCAGGGACAGATGGCCTGTGATGGAGGGGGTGGTGGGGAAGGGGGCTGGAGAGAAACCTTATAATCCGGGGAACTGGGAATGTCTCAGCCCATGGAAAACAGAGCTAGCCAGGGCCCAGCAGGTGGTGATGTGGGGCTCTAGATATGTGGGGCTCCAGAACAGAGGCCAGAATGGACATTCCCACAGAGCGGTGGCAGGGAAGTTTCCTCCTAAGGAAGTTATGATTTAAAAAAAAGCAGCTAGATCATAAGTTGTAAGAAAATGAGATTCCTTATCAAAACAACATATTGGACACCTTAAGCTTACCCAATGTTATATGTCAATTATATCTCAATAAAGCTGGGGAAAAAAAAGAAAGAAAATGAGATTCCTATCAACCTCCTGCAAGGCAGCCTGGGTCAGGTCTGCAAGGATGGAGGTGGCACAGAGCACGGTGGGGTGGGCGACCTCAGGGGTCTGTGACGCAACAGTGAGTGAAGGCGCTTTTCAGTCACTCTTTTTATTTCCCTCCGATGCCTGATTCCCTAAAGGCAACATAGGTCGTTAGAACCGAATGGGGCTGGGATGAATTCCAGCCCTCCGCTTCTCAGTGGTTGGGCTGGAGTCATTGGAACCATGGCCAATGTTTCTTCTGTATCACTCACTGCCTAGCGTTATTTTGGGCAAATCACCAAAAGGATTGCTTATCTGCAAAATGGGAGTGTTAGCCTTCCTCAGTCCACCTCAGATAGCACTGAAGTGCAACAGAGACAAGGAATAGAAAAATGCCTTTATTAAATGGAAGCCTTTTGCACCCGACAAAAATAATCTGATGGGTCTTCCTTACCTTCCTCTGACTACTTAAGCAACTCTGGAGTTCTCTTCCTCCTGTCTGCTGTTCGAGGAAGGGCTCATACCTGCGGGCAGGGAGACCATGCTGATGTTCGCAAGAGAAGGATGGGAAACACGGCCTCCTGGTCTGGGTGACAGAGACACGTGAGCGGCCGCCTGTGAATGTGGGCGGATTCTTTAAGAGGAATTGCATTTCTTTTCAATTACTTCTGGTTGATGATTTGTGCCTCTTTAAGTGAGATTCTATACTGAGACCTGGGCCACATGAACCCTCAGATTTATTAGGATTAAAAATATAAGTGATGGGGGCCAGCCCAGAGGCGTAGTGGTTAAGTTCGTGCGCTCTGCTTTGGCGATCCAGGGTTCGCAGGTTCGGATCCCAGGTGCGCACTGATGCACGGCTTATCAAGCCATGCTGTGGCAGCGTCCCATATAAAGTGGAGAAAGATGGGCACAGATGTTAGCCCAGGGCCAGTCTTCCTCAGCAAAACAATAAATAAATAAGTAATTACTACGGTCATTCCTGAAACTGTTCAATAAGTGCTTCTATCACATTGATCAGCAGTAGTTACGTATGCTGTGGAATAAAGCAGTTGTGGCCCGGGAAGCACTGGTCAGACAGTGACAGGGGACGTTTGGAAACAGACTGTGGGGATTTTGGGGTTGTCTCAACCACTGGGGCTCCCACCAGCGTTTAGTGCCCAGAGGCACAGGAGAGAAGGGGTGTATAATGCCAGGACAATGCGGCACAGTGAAGAAAAACTCCCCACCTCAAACCCCCGTAGCTGCCCCACTGCAAGAACTGAAGGAGAAGAAAGGCAAGACATAAACGGAGCAGGTCAGTCTGTGCAGGAGAAACCATACAGAGGAACAGACCTTGCGGGGCAGGGAGAAACCCCACAAGAGAAAAGAGGCGGGACTGTGGGGCGGCCTGTATTCTTTCAACCACGAGAGTGAGGGGGCCTCTGGCAGGTCATGCTCAAGGTTGTGGTCCGAGGTGCCCTGGGAATGCTGCAACCCTGCAGGTCCCATTATTACGAGAAAAGCCACAGGCAAATGCAATAAGCTACAAGGAACAGCGTCAAACTGGGCCTGGCCAGCCAGCTTCCCCCTGGGGAGGCGTCTGTGCCACAGATAAAGAATGACATGGCGCAGGGCGAGCACGTGATGCGTGTCCAAGCCTGTGCACCCAAACACCCTTCCACCCACACCTCGCCAGCACCGTGGTTTGAAAGGAAGCCCCAGAAACCAGGGACCCCAGAAACCGGGAACTGGACTTCCCACTGCAGTATGAGGGGGATTGGAGCCGTCCAGGCAGCTGGCTCCTCGCGTCACCCTCCCTGTCCCTATCCTGACCTCAGAGGGTGGGGACAGCACTGGGGCTGGGGCTGGGATGGGGACTAAACCTTCCCTCAGTGTCCCCATTTTACAGATGAGAAAAAAAAGGCACAGGCGAGAGTGACTGGTGCAAGTCCCCCTTTGGCAGATCCAAGAAAGGAACCCGGAGCCTATACTCGAAACCCCACTCTCCATGGATTCTGCCTCCCCAGGTAGAGGGCATGACACAAGGACGCAGGGACATGATTTTTTCCGGCCCAGCTTCCATTTCTTCTCTCCAGTTACGGCCCCCGATTTATGCCCAACCTGAGGTAGACCAATTCTCCTGCTCTTTCCTCAATTTGAGCCTCTGAATTCCTACCCCACCCACAACCACTGCCACCCTGCCAACACACACACACACATTTGTCCTTCCAGCACATTCCCACTGTGGCATAGGGCAGCCATA